AAAAAAAAAAAAAAAAGAATCATCAGAGGACACTAAAACTGGTGGGTGACCATTTCAGGAAGGACAGGGTATTTACAGCCACCCAAAGTACCTCCCCACAAAATACTTACTAATTACTCGTTAATTAACAAAAAATCCTCATGAACCTCACAGTGGAGAACTTGACAGATACTATCTTAACCAACTGATAAAAGTTAACAACATCGGCGCCTGGGTGGCTCAGTTGGTTAAGCGACTGCCTTCAGCTCAGGTCATGGTCCCGGAGTCCTGGGATCGAGTCCCACATCGGGCTCCAAGCTCAGCGGGGAGCCTGCTTCTCCCTCTGTCTCTAATGAATAAATAAATAAAATCTTTAAAAAAAAAAAAAAATAAACAACATCAGTTATGGCATCATGTGCCTCCTGACATCACACACTGAGAACATGTGCCATTTCTGTGATACTCCTGCCAAAAATGCATTACCTAATCTAATTATGAGGAACATGGGACAAACCCCAAGTGCATGACATTCTACAAAGTAACTGTTAGCACATACTCTTCAAAAATGTCAAAACTGTGAAGGGGGAGGGGACATCCCAAGAACTTTCCAGGTTACAGGCCAGAAACAGGACACAAGTAATACATTGCATGGTTCTTTCTGGACCATATCATTGACCAGGGGGGAGGTAGGAATTTGATGATAATACCATTATAATCTAAATTTCCTGATTTTGATATGTGTACTATAATTACGTCTGTGTCTCTGTTTTTAGGAAATACACACTGAAGTATTTTAGAGTAACAAGATATCATGTCTGGAACTTAACTCAAATGGTTCAGGATGAAGTTATATATACAGTATGTATAAATACGAGGGAAGGCAAATGTCGTACGTTAGCTGCTAAATCTGGGTTAAAAGTAAACAGAAGTTGTCTGTATTATTCTTACATCTGTGTAAATTTGAAATTATTTCAAAATTAAAAGTTTTAAAAAACACACAAATAACGAAGTCCACCATGAATGCCATCCACTTCAGAGGATTCCTCTCTAGCTCCCAACAAGATTTCCTTCATGGATTCCAAAAGTCACCAAGATCTGTGGTAAAAAGAGTAATTTCTGAAGTCAAATTATCCGGGACCTTTAGAGGCTAATTCAATACTCCAGGGAACATACATCAATTATTAAACGTAGAGTCCTGGTCCTGATAATCAAATGAACTTCCAAGATACTTCTCAACAACTATTAGCCCAACTAAAGTGTGCTACAACAGTGAAGAAGAGAGAACACAAGGGTGAAAAGCTGTCATAAATCATGCATTAAGGACATGGAAAGCTCTGCAGCCTTGTGGCTAGGGCTCCTCCGATCACACAGACCCAGGTGCACATCTGAGCTCTACCACTTACTAGCTCAGCAACCTGGGAAAGTTATTCCCACCTCAGATTCATCATCCTCAAAAAGGCAATGACTGACCGGGTTTTTTTTGCCATAATTCTTATGTTCCTTTTAAGAATAAACTGAGAGTCCATACAGTATACTGTCAGTCAGCCCTTAAAAGTAACAAAGTACTGGGGGTTCCTGGATGGCTCGGTCGGTTGAGCGATGGACTCTTGGTTTTGGATTGGGTCATGATCTTGGGGTTGTGGGATCGAGCCCCATCTTGGGCTCCATGCTCAGCACAGTGTCTGCTTAAGAAATTCTCTCGCTCCCTCTCCCTCCCCTTCTGCCCCTCCCCCCACTCATGTTCTCTCTCCCTCTCTCTCAAATTAATTAATTAATTAATTTTAAAAATGCTACGATTCGGATGAACCTCAAAAATATTATGCTAAAGGAAAGAAATCAAACACAAGAGGCCACATGTTGTATGATTCCATTAATGTGAAATGTCCAGAGTAACCAAATCCACAGAGATAGAAGTAGATTAGTGCTTGCTTTGAGAAGGCGGATAGCTAATAGCTACAGGGTTTCTTTTTGAGGTGATGAAAATGTCCTAAGATTATAGTGCACTACGTAAATATACTAAAAACCACTGAGCTGTGTCCTTTAAATATGTATGGTATGTGAATTATATCTCATTAAAGCTGTTTAAAAAAAAAATAGGGGGTAGGCAAAAAATTAAATAAATAAAAAATGAAAATAATAAAGAATAAAATGGAATAATAAAAAAGAGGGCTTACTAAATTCACTCATTCCACAAACACTGAGTATTTATCACAGGCACTAAGGATGACACGCCAGCTAACAGAATAACATCCCTGAGGGTTCCTTTGCAATGAAGGAGATTAAAAAAACAACAACAACAACAAGGAGGGGCACGCGGGTGGCTCAGTCAGTTAAGCGTCTGCCTTCGGCTCGGGTCATGATCTCGGGGTCCTGGGATCAAGGCCCCCGTCTGGCTCCTTGCTTGGCGGGGAGCCTGCTTCTCCCTCTCCCTCTCCCTCTGCCCGCTTGTGTGCATGCGCTCGCGCTCTTTCTCTGCCTCTCTTGCTTGCACGCTCTCTCTCTCTCTCAAATAAATAAAATCTTTTAAAAATATATAAATAAATAAATAAACAAGGAAATAAAAGTAAATAAATAAAACATCAGATGGTGATAACTGCTACAAAAGGAATAAAGCTGTGGGGCACCTTGGTGGCTCAGTCGGTTGAGCACCCGACTCTTGACTCTTGGTTTCAGCTCAGGGTCCTGGGATCAAGCCCCACATCAGGTTCCCTGCTTGGTGGGGAGTCTGCTTCTCCTCTCTCTCCCTCTGCCCTCTCCCCTGCTCATGCTCTCTCTCTCACACTGTCTCTCAAATAAATAAATAAAATCTTAAAAAAAAAAAAACGTTCAAAAAAGAGGAATAAAGCAGCGAGAGGGATGCTACTTATACAGGATATATGGGGAGGGCTTCAGTGATAAGGTAACATCTGACAAGACCTGGAAGAAGCAAGGCAGCAACATGCCCATATGCAGGAGAGGAGCATACCAGGCAAGGGGTGGACCATATACGACATTATGCAAGAGGCCAGTGTGGTTGGGGCAGGGCAAGGGACAGACAGGTAGAGGAGGCCAGTGAGGTAATGGAAAGCCAGAAGATGTAGGGCCTCAGAGACACTGTAAAAACCTCAATCTTTATTTTTTGCGAAATGGGAAAGGACTGGAAGGTTTAGGCAGAGGAGCGACATGATCGGACTTATATTTTTAAATCACCTTTCAAACTACTGAGCAGGGATAACACGCAAGTCAGTTAGGAAAGCCACCGTGATAAATAATCCAGACAAGAAATGATGGTACCAAGGACCAAGGTGCCAGCGGTGGGAGGAGTGATAAATAGTCCAACTAGGAATATCTTGAGAGTAGCCAACAGGATTTCATAAAGGATTATACATGGAATGGGAAAGAAGAGAGTAAGAACACTTCTAGGTTTGGAGTCTAGTCAACTAGAAGGTTGGAAATATGGAAAGGGTGAGGAGAGGAACATCAAGGGATAGATTTGGTATGTGTTAATTTGAAATGTTAAGTTAGTTGTCCAAGTGTTGGTGCACACTAAGCACTAAACGTTAGATATTATTATTGACAATCATAATACTAAACGTAAGGTTGTTCTGACAAATAATCAGAAAAGGCAAGAGTGCAGACATAGTCTATCAACATTCCTGCTGTTTACATTAACTGAAATTCATTTTATTAATTTTTCCTATACCATCTCACTAGTGTTTTAGGGG